TAAAAAAAAAAAAAAAAAAAAAAAAAAAATATGTCTTTAAAAATGTTTCTAACTTAATTGCATTTTGACAAGAAAATGTGGTCTGTGAGATACCAGTTCTCTGAAAATTTACTAAGACTTGTTTATGGCCTGGTACATGGTCAAGTTTTTAAAATATTAATGACATTTTACCTATTGATCTATCATTAATGAGAAATTTATAAACATCTTCTAATTTGATGTGCGTTTGTCAATATTGCCTTGTGGTTTTGTTTGTTTTCTTGCTTGCTTAGAAATTTTGAAGATATTTTTAAGGCTTTTGGCCTTAAGTTCTATTTTACCTGATATTAGTATAGCACTACCAGTCTAGTATATTAGAGCAGTTTTACATTTGCTTCTGATTGGGTCCCAGGGGATTCACTTGTATCCAACCAGATTTCATGTAAGAAATCTAAGAAAGCTTGTGTTTTCTTAACCATGTGGGTAGTGTAGATTTACACCCACATACATGTGTTACAGCCTTCAGGTTTGTATTTTTCAAAGGACCTTTTTTTTTTATTTCCCTGCTCCATCCCTCCAGAGTCTGGACTGGTGTGTGGAATATTTCTAGACTTCTTTTCATGAACTGGACAGCAATTTGAAGGTGTGCATTTAAAGTGATACTATGTATACTTGAATTTTATAGAAAAACAAAGTTTATTTTTATTTTCCCATTTGGCATTTCTGCAGCAAACTTACTTCTTACCATGATTGCTGTGCAGCCTTGGCCAACTATTCCAGATGTTATGCCTTGTTTTTGAACCTGATAAATAAATACCAGACGAAGCAGGTCAGTCTTCATGCATTTAATTCTTCAATGAGTCTTCACAATGGTGTATTTGTGTAAGCCCATGTTGAATGATTTCATGTTTTGAATGTATAAAACTTTCTTTTAAAAGTTTTCAATACATGTGTAACATGCTGCCCCAGCAGGCAGTGAGTTACCTGTAAGGGTTGAGGAGGGAAGAGTCTGAGGCAGAAACTGCAGCAATAGGATGTCGATGTCCCAGGAGGATTCCTGATTTAGGAAGGAGGGTGGCAAACTACAACAGTGCTGTTCCTCCCAGTGATCTGTAGACCACTAACGTGAGAGACATCTTGGGGTGGGGTTGGGAATGTGCTGGTTATTTCCAGGCTCCACCCCAGGCCTGCCAAGTCAGGTGGTGGGGTGGGGCCTGGCCATCCTCATTTTAACAAGAACCACAGGGACCTCTGATGCAAACTAAAGTTTGGGATCCCCCAATACTTGATGTACCCTGAAGATTGTTAGTGCTTAAATTCTCTAATTCATTAACCCTGTTGTTGTATTTAGAAGATGAAATTTCTAGATAAAGTATTTAAATGAAATAATTTAGTTTTAATTGTTTGGGGCAAAAATGTATATAGTTGTTTGAGAAAAAGGAAGAATCCTCTGTACCAGCCAGCCACCAAACAAAACAAAACAAAACACGAAAAACAAACAAACAAAAAAAGTAAGAACTCACAGATGACTTCCCCATAATAAATTATAATACTGGGTTTGCTGGTTAGCTCAGTTCGTTAGAGCATGGTGCTGATAACACCAAAGTCCAGGGTTTGATCCCTGTACCAGCCAGCCAGCCACCAAAAATAAATAAATAAATAAAGATAAAATTATAATACTTAGTACAAATATTAATTTTTATTATGTTTTTGGATATTCATTAAATGCAGTCTACTTTTATTCACCTTTATAAATGATTAGAGTGACATCAGTTCTTTACTGAGACATTTTACACATGAATACAATATATATTAATTTCAAAAATGGTAAATTCTCTTTTTTTTTTTGTCCTTTTTGAAATTCTTTTTTTTTTTTTTTTTTT